TGGCTGAACCCACAGGAGGAGGCAACATGATACCGGGGAAAGAGCTGCCAGACTGGGAGTCAAGAGACTTGGGTTCCATCTCAGTTCTATACTAGCTTGCTTTATGAGTTTGGGTGTCATGTCTCTGGGCCTCGGTTTCTTTACTCATAAAATGGGAGAACTGGATTTAATGATCTGTAAATTCTTCCTAGCTTTAAAACTCTAAGACTGTAAAGCCTAGAGACAAATCTACCTTCCCTAACATTTTCCCTTCTGTCATTAGTGTCTGACTGAGACATCTTAGCTCTCACTGAACAGCCTTCCACCAACACTACTGCCTTTGTTGCTCCCGAGCCCCAAAGTGTCTGATAGCCCTGACCACAAAGCCTGGCCAGGGAAGAAGAGAATAAACTTGGGGCCATACTCCTAAGAACATATTTACTACTTTCAGTTCCAACAACTCAACAGAGCCCAGGTACCTTGGGGCATCAAGATCTTGGATATCCCAACAACCCATAATCACCTGGGTTGGTTTCTTTCCACTCAAGGGTTTTTCTCACTGCTTTCCTATACCAACTTGCACTCTCTAGGTCCCCTACACTTTCAAAACCTTAGATGTTTTTTTACCCATGCAGGAGACAGAGGCAGCAACAGGCAGTCCTTATCTGTGCTTCAGAATATCTCAGGAAGGGGCAGGGGAGAGCTGGCAAAGCTACAAAAGGCTAGGAGAAAAGCGCTTACAGAGGCAAACTGGGGCTATGTGAGAAGGAGGCAGCCTGGAGGAGAAGATGGTGCTAATCCATGGACAGGACTGCCAGTGAGCTCTTAGAGCCACAAAAGTCTGTGAGGTTCCTTTAAGATGCAGCCCAAGCCTCCATGCCTCCCCTTATTTCCTTGATCAGAAATCAGAGAGCAGGTGAAGTTTTGTGACTTGCCCAGGGTCATATAGCTAATCTATGAAACAGTCAAGAGGAGAATGTGAGTCTTTTGGTCCCAGCCCCTTTTTTTTCCCACTCGACTCTGTTGACCTCAAGAGTCTAATTAGGTTGCTCTAATGAGGCCAGCTGGATCCCCTGGAGATGCTAAGAAACATGACCCAAGTGTCACTTAGGGAAAGAACAGGCCCAGCAGATGTTTTGATAACTGCCTCTCCTACCTGGTGCATGCCTTCCCAATCTGACATTATATCCTTGTTCTTTCTCCAGCCCTTGATCACAAATTCTTGAGGAGTTCAGAGGTCAGTGACACGAGAAAGGTAGGTCCTCCTGTCCCTACAGAACCCAAAGTACCTAAGATAACCCACAACCATCCCTCATTCCTTGCTCTAGATACGGGCGGTAGGAGAAGAGTGGTTAGAGGAGAAGATAGAATTAACCCAATGGATCTGTTTAGGCCAAGGGTATTCTTCATGGACAACTCCATGGGTAATCTGCTGGTTTATGACAGCAAACAATAGGCTGAACCTCTGTCAGGGACCTTTAGAAGATCAGTATTTGATATATCAACCCAGCCTTCGGAGAAGGAAGCTCTGAGTAAAAGATTTCAAGGAATTAATTATTCAGTGTGCATGACCCAGTTCCTGGAGGTGAGGCTGGGTGAGAAGAGAACTACCAGTTTCTTATCGGGGCAAGAAATTCAAATACTTCACAGGGTAGTGTTCCCTTTGCTGCCAAAGCGGATCCATTTATGGTTGCGAGCGGCAAAAGAAAAAAGAAAAAAGCCAAGGTTCACTCATTCAACAAGTATTTATTGAGCTTCTCTTATGTCCAAGGCACTCCAGAGATCTGCATGTGGTTGGAGACAGTAGAGTAGAGAGACTGTGGAATTTATTAACAGGAGGCCTGGGCTGTGTCCCATCTCAGCCCTTCAACAGCTACCTTACGTTGGGCTATTTATATCCTGTTTAAGTCAAATTTCTCATCTGTAAAATGGGCATAAATCCACTGGTCTTCTTATGAAGAGTAAATAACCTTTGTAAAATGTACAGTGAGATGTAAATGTGAGGCGTATGCAATATTGATATAATATGACCCACTTTCCCTGCCCTAGAGAAGTTTATGATCTGGTGATGTTCTTCAAAAGAGTCCAGGGTGCCCATGTGGTAAATGACACATTCTCCGTAATTTGGGCAAATTGTAGGTTTCAACCTGCCCGTGGAGCTGAAGCCAGGGGTCAGTCCCAGTCTCCCACTCTGTACACCCAAGAAATTGCAAGAAGAGAGAGAGTGAAAATGGAAGAGTAGCTGAGAGGGGTGGGGCCCACCTGGCCCTAGGTCAAACCACCACTGAATGAATGACCCAGGAGAGACCCACGATTCTGGAGGGAAAAAAGACCAACTGGAAGTGTGGCCAACCAGACACAAAACAATTAATTTGAGTGCAACAGGACTGAGCCAGCCAGAAATGCACACACGTCCCTCCTCATGTACATTTCAGACAATGATGGAATTCACTGTTCCCTGCCCGATCCACCTCTGCACGGACTCTGCATTCGGTGTTTCTCCAGGAAAAGGGAGGAATTCTCAGGCCTCAGCAGACTGGTCTTGCCCAGTCTCTCCTCAGGCACTAAGAATCAGAACTACTGGAGTGGCTTTCCCCTCTACTGGAGCAGCTATCCATTCGGTCCATTCAACACTTCCTTCATCCTGATGCTCAAGACGTTCAACATGGACTCTTCTGAACTTCAGCTCCACACCCTATGTGCGTGCTCACTGCCCACCAGACTAGCCTCAAAATGCCCAGACATGCCCATCTGCTGCCCCTCCAGCAGGGCTTCCACTCATGCCCCAGCCTCTGGGATTGGACCCTGATGCTCTCCCCTTACTCTCTGTTATGGTTTGAATTATGTCCCCCAAAAATGTGTGTATCAATTTGGCTGGGCCATGATTCCCAGAATTGTGTGGTTGGCCTCCATTTTGTGATTGTAATTTTATGTTAAAGAGGATTAGGGTGGGATTGTAACACCACCTATACCCAGGTCACATACCTGATCCAATGTAAAGGGAGTTTCCTGCGCCACCTTTTACCTTACAAGAGATAAAAGGAAAGGGAAGCAAGCAGAGAATTGGGGACCTCATACCATCAAGAAAGCAGTTCCGGGAGCAGAGCGTGTCCTTTGGACCAGGGTCCCTGTGCAGAGAAGCTTCTAGTCTGGGGAAACACTGATGAGAAGGCCGAGAGAGAGAAAGCCTTCCCCTGGAGCTGACACCCTGAATTTAGACTTTTAGCCTACTTTACTGTAAGGAAATAAACTTCTCTTTGTTAAAACCATTCACTTGTGGTATTTCTGTTATAGCAGCACTAGATAATGAAGACACCCTCTCTCCTCCTTCAAACAAACTGAGGCCATGGCCCAGTCTCACATCTCCAAGGACACTTCTGGAGGGCAGGACCCATTTTATTCATGTCTATGTTCTCTTTAGCTCAGTGCATTTCATAAGTTCTTCATCCTCCTGTAATGTAGATTTATCATCCCAAATTGTTCTCTGATTGCTGTATACAGAAGGAGCAGGGAGGAAGAGCAGAAAGAATGCTAGACTGAAAATCAAGGGCCTGAATTCCAAGTCTTCATTTGACACCAATTAGTTACATAACCTTGAGAAATTATCTTCAGGCCAGGTCTCAGTTTCCTTATTTGTTAATGAGAGGTTTGCTCTAAATAATATCTCGGGTTCCCTCTAATTATCAAGTTTGGCATTACAGAAATCAGACTAGACAGGGACACAGAAGACGTGAGTCCTGGTCCCTGTTACCTACAATCTGGGGCAAGTTCTGTGACTGCTCAGACCCCAGTCTCCATGATATAAAATAAATGAGGATAATATGACTTCTCTTCCCAGGGTTCAAGGCTCCCATGAGACACTGTGAATAGGCCTTCATCAACTGTAAAGCCCTAAGCAAACCTTGGGGTTAGACTCCTTCAGTCAACAAACAGCTACTGACCCCCTGCAATACAGCAGGTTCAGGGCTGGCTGGATGGGCTGCCAGCTCAAGCAGGAAGATGAGGGGATGGTTCCTTGAGGCTCCTACAGCTGGTGGGTAGGCAGACAAGTGAACAAGCCCTAACTGCAGCCTGTGGTGTATCCGAGGCATGAATTAAGTGCTATGGGAGTGCAGAGGAGGCGACGCCAGCTGTGCCTGGGGAAGTGAGGGAGGCTTCTTCCCAGAGGGAACAGTGTGTTCAGTGTGTTCAGACCTGGTGAGCTGTTTCAGGAGTTGTGGGAACTGAGTTAGAGGCAGAAAACAAGGCTGGAGAGTGAGGCTGAGGGCAGACTGGAGGGGGCCTTGAAGGCCAACAGAGGAGTGACAGGTGTGCGTCTGAGGCAGGTCTCTCTGCAGCACTCTGGAGGACAGAGTAGAGGGGCAGAGGGTGGAGCCGGGGAGAGCAGTGGGAAGGCTGGTATGATACTGCATGAGGGCAATAATGAAAAAACAAGTCCATTATTGATTTCTGTCCACACCAAGCCTTCCAGACGCTAAGCTTCCACTGACCTGCTGAATCTACAGGATGATTTAAACAGGTTTGTTCTCCTCAGAATTGGGCCCAACCAGGTAAAGACGATGCAATCATGGACAAATGGTCTATGGAGATCTGAAGACACTCCCACCAGAAAGCCGTCTGGCTAGATTCTTGCCTTGGCACAGATCTGGACCAGCAAGAGGCCGAAACATCATCAGAGCCGGGACTGTGGTCAGAACAGCCGAGGGGCTGGCCTTGCTTAGAATAAAGGGGGCAAAGATTCCACCTGCCAAAACACCAGAGGGTTAGGGATGGTGCTTTACTTCCCAAAACAAATCTCAGTCTCAATTCCTCCTTCCTCCCTCCTCTGACCATAGAAAGACTGCGCAACCTTGCAGGACTGAGGAGGGAAACCAAGGCTTTCACCGGCGGTCTTTCTTCAACTGGGGTCACATTCACTTGGGCTTGAAGAAAGCATGCCCTTACAAATTTCTAACCTTAAAGCCAGCCCCCCAAGAGCTACTCAATGGCATAAAAGAGATCCACGAGTGTGAGTTACTCACTTGATTCTGAGGCATTACGGTCAGTTATCTCCTTCCAGAACGAGCCATGCACAGGTTGCCATGTTCCTTTAAAAACAAAAGCGCAGTAATTAACATTGGTTACGTTATCTTACATTACAGCCTCATATCTTCTTCCCTCCAAGAAGCTGTACATGCTTATGCATTCTGTCCAGAAGTGACACTTTCCCCAGCAAGAGGAAATGGACAGAGAGCCAACAAGTTTTGCATGTGAAGAAAGGAATACCGAGACTGTTCAAATTCTATTGTCTGCCACTGCCTGGGCACCCTAAGGGCTGTTCACATCTCTACACCAAGGCTTTGCTGAGACAGTAAAGATGGATCTGCAAAAGAAGGCTTTATTTAGCTGCTTTAGTCAAAACAGAAAAGGTCAGAATTTCTAAGTTGAAGAGAAAGTAAATGAGTTGGTGTGAAATTTGATACCAAGTCACCAATGTGAAATTTGTCATACAACCTAAGGTGGAAAGGTCTAAAACACTAAATAAACAATGAAATCATTAAAGTGGACTGTTTGGGCATGACTAAGTTACCAAAACAAATTATTTGGGCTTCTAGTGGCCCCTCAAATTATTTGGTTACATCTTATTGCTTCTGCAGAAAATGCCTATACACCGGTCTGGAAAACGGATCTCAGAGTTACGAAACATTGCTAAAGATTTACTTTCATATTTTCTTTAAAAATCCAAATTTCTAAGAGGTAGCCAAGAGGGAAAAACTAGCACAGAAGTGAAAACTGAGATCTAGGAAAAGCACTATCCATATACGTGGAAGTAAACACACTTTGCTCAATAGGACAGCAGGCCCACCTGCCCACATAAACATATGCATATTTTCTCTAGTACACAGAGCCTCCTTTGGAGTGTGGGGTGATGAGAATCATTCATTAATTCTCAGACTATTAATGGGAGAGGGCCTACTATTTACTGGGCACTGAACATGTAGCTAGCACTGTTAGAGGCTGGACATACTTTATCTCAGTGATTCCTCAAAGATGGGGAATTGGAGGCTCAGAGAGAAAAAGGCACTTGGAAGGTCCCACTGTATGGTAGTATTTAACCCCAGGCCTGACTGACCCAGCACTGATACCCTTTCCCACCAAGATGATGTGACAGGTGTCCTGGATGCCAACACCTAGCATAGTTCAGATGGGTCCACACACCTGGTGAGCTGCCTAGCAAGCTCCAAGGACATCCATCCAGGCAGAAGCTGCAATCATCACCATTATTCATCACTATCAAGCCCACACCCTGCTGGATGTGTGCCCCCTGACAAACAGGCTGGCCCGCCTGGGCTACATTCTATCAGCCTGAGCTGTAGGCTCCGTGCTGCTGCCTCAAGTCAGAAGGCAGAGAGGCTGGAGGCCTTTCTGCTGCTGCTTCTCAAGGGAAGGTTCCTGGGTACAGTGGATGAAGGGAGCTAGACATCTTGGTGTAGAATTCCACAGTTAGTCTAACCAAGTTTGGGAAACCAGGGACCTCCTTTTGCTCTCCCTAGGTCTCCGGAACAGAAGCTTCTACCCACCTTAGGGCATTGCTGAGACCAGCAGCAGGGAAACAGGGGCTCACTGAAGTCCTGCTTTGGTTTCCTTTATGGCAGAATGGAGGTGGGCATGACTGGATCTATTCACAAGAGCTGACCATCAGTCAGATTCTCACAGACAATCAGAATGAAAATCAATGCCTCCCCTCAGACTTGCTATCATCTCAACTCCAAGCAAAGAAGCAGGAGGCCTTCTGTCACCTATGAGCCTGATTTGGGCAGTGAAGGAAAGGTTTCCTGTGAGCCTTTCAGAGGGATGTGAGACTCTGAAGGATGTGAGAGGAATTCTGAGGGATGTGAGAGGCCTGAGAAGCCAAGGAGAGAGGAACCTCAGGGCAACTTCCTTTCTGATGCTCTCCACACCCAGCTCCACAGAGGCAGGGATCTTCTCTGAGGGATCCCAAGCACTTGGAACAGGGTCTGGCAACACTAGGCACACAACAAGCATCATTTGAAGGAATTAAATCCAGGTTTAGATGCACCAAAGGCTCACTTAAGAACCATTTGGTACAAGTTAGTTAGAGATACACACAAGACCAGTTCAGAATTGCAAACCCGGCCCCTCCACAGCATGCCCTAAGCAGAGGTCTCTACATACTAGCTCCCAGGAGAAGAGGTCAGAGGCTCAGGATGCTGAGGCAGGTGTACTCTTCCCCCTAAGCAACAGGGGAGCATCTGATAAAGCAAGAGACATGTCTAAGTGCACAGGCTACCCAGAGACGTGATTAGGAGCTCAGGCCCTGGGATCAAGAAAACTAGGTTTCTATCCCAGCTCTGTCACTTATCAGTCGAGTGGCCCTGGGTAAGCCGCATAACCTCTGTAAGCCTCAGTTTCTTACTGAAAATGGGGATAATGTTAACATCTACTTCATGGGCTGTCCTGTAGATTACATGAGAAAATGCTATAAAGTTCTTTGCCCAGTGTGTAGTTCAGAGTAAGTGCTTAGAGCTGACATCTGTTGTTACTGTCTGCATTAGAGTGGGTGGTTAAGAGCACACTCTCTGGAGCCTTCTGCTTAGGTTCAACCTCAGCTCTCCTACTAACTAGCAGTGTGACCTTGGGCAAATTGCTTAGCCTTTCTATGCCTCAGTTTCCTATCAGGCAAATTGGGGTTGAAGGCTAAATGAATTATGCAGTTAAAGAGATTAGTAAGCACTCAACAAAAGCAAGTTAGTATTATTCTTAATTATTAATATTACTAGTATCCTTCTCCCTTCCTTCTGATAACAGATTTTACTTCTGCCCCCTCCTCAGTCAAAAAGGCAAGTGTGGGATTCAAGATTGGTTCATGAATATATCTTTCCTCCTTGGCCATATTCGTTGGTACACAGGGTGTGCATGTGCTCCAGGCTGGGCAAAGTTCTAATCTGGAAAGTCCTGGGAAGGACTGATGCTCTTGGGTCAGGTGGAGGACTGTGTGGGGTCAGCCGGGAGATGCCGGCAGCCATGACCCACTGAGCGGAGAATGCTGGTCGGGATGTGGGAGGTCACCTGTCCCCTTCCTAGGGCTGGATCTTCAGTACCTCTTTTGATTCTTTGAGCCTCCCTCAGACCCTTCCAAAGTATCCCATTTGTATTTAAGCTCATTCCACTTGGGTTGCTGTCACTTGAAACCAAAAGAGTCCTATACTAACAAAGGCACTCAAATGGTTGCTTCAGCATCGCTAAATCCCGCCCAAGAAGAAAAGCCAGCTGGTACGCCCTCAGTGAAACCCAGGCAGTCAGGGAAAACCAAACATGTTCAGCAAGGTGTCTCTACAGCCAAAGTGAGGGGAGCCCGCTGCAAGACCCTGGACCAGTGCCCTTTCTGGAAGAAGAAGCTGAAACAAAAAAAAAAAAAAAAAAAATGACAGCCAGGTCTTCGGTCCAGGCTCAGACCTGGGCCCCCCTCTGCCGTGTGCACTAGGAAAGGGGAAGAAGAGAAAGGAGGAAGTTGGAGCTGAGTTTCACTGGCTTCAAAGTGGTACAGAAAAAAATCCAGGAGGCTACTTAAAATAATTCTTTTTTTAGAGGAGGAAGTAAAAGAGAAAAGGGGGTGGGGAAGGTAACAGCAGGGAAATTACCTTGTTTGAACACTTAAATGTGCCAAGCACTGCAAGTCAGACTCTTTCACTTGTATGATTTTATCCAACCTTCTACACAACCCTAGAAGCTAGATGATCATCCAACTCATTTTCCATTTGAGGAAACTGAGGCTCGGAGAGATTCAGTACCTAACACACCAAGGTTGCATCGTCAGTGCCCAATGCCTGGTGTGCCCCACATGCTGCCTCCTCTGCACATACATGGACCACTTGTGTTGCCACTCACACATGTGCTCAAATCCACCAAAGTGTGGTGATGATATTCTGCAGCTCCTTCCGCTACCCAGAGATGGCCGCCCAGAGGAAGGGTCACCCTAAAGACACAGACAGGAGAGGCAGCACCTTTGGACACCCCAAGTGCATCCTTGAGCATGTTTCCTTCCCTGGACCTTAGTTTCTTCATGCACAAAACAGGAGTCCCATTTTTTTTTTTTAATCTCCATGAGTCTCAGTGTGATATTAATGAGATGACACTTACCAGGGGGTTTTAGCAAGGAGGCACCTGTCATTCTTAGGCGGGGTTTTTTGTTGTTTTTACTGCTTAGTCGCTTCTCCCAAGAGATTCTGACTTAACAGGTAAGACCACAGTGCCTGATACATAGCACAGTGCTAAATAATGTCATCTTTATTTTGTCTCATTTACCTGCTACCTACTGGGCCACTCAAAGATGGGCTATTCCTATAGTTCCAGGCTTTCTAATAAAAAGCCAACCCATTTGCTGTTGAATCAATTCTGACTCATGGAGACCCCATGTGTGTCAGCATAGGACTGTGCTCCATAGGATTTTCAATGACTGATTTTTCAGAAGTAGATCACCAGGCCTTTCTTCCAAGGCACCTGTGAGTGGACTTGAAACTCCAACCTTACAGTTAGCAGCTGAGTGTATTAACCATTTGTGTCACCTAGGGACCCCTTGACAGAATTAACCAAAACAACTAAACTTAGTGCCGTTGAGTCGATTCTGACTCATAGCGACCCTATAGGATACAGCAGAACTGCCCCATAGGGTTTCTAAGGAGCAGCTAGTGGATTCAAACTGTGGACCTTTTGGTTAGCAACCAAGCAAGCTCTTAACTACTGCACCACCAGGGCTCCCTCGAAGGAATTCGAAGGATACTGTAGAAGGCCTGGAGTCTTTGGGTGGTGCAAACATTTACCACGAGCTTGGCTGCTAACTGAAAGGTTGAGGCTTCAAGGCTACCCAGAGGTGTCTTGGAAGAAAGACCTGGTGATCTACTTCCAAAACATCAGCCACTGAAAACCCTACAGAGCACAGCTCTACTTTGACACATATGGTGTCACCATGAGTCAGAATTAACTCCAGAGCAACTTTTTTTTTTAATTCCCTGGAGGAAAAAAAGCTCCACTTTCAGATGTGTTTTTAAAGGGTTTATAGGGAAAAGAAAAAAAATCTTTGTCCTGG